AACAGAAAAAGGGGAAATGATGGAGGAAGGTCATTGGCTAATAAAGAAAGTGCCTTGGCCCATTTTGTAGCTTAGAACATTGGTGGGTGGAGTAAACAGAACAGAATACTGGGAGGAAGAGAAAGTGATCTCAGTAGCCATGCTCCCCTCTCCCGGGCAGACGCGATAAAGCCAATGATAATGGCACTGGGATTTGTCTCTACTTCGTGTACTGGCTTTTTGAGATCCTAGTCTATTTGGATGCACACCTTCCTAAGCCTGAATGGAGGGCAGAGGTACTTGGATTTCCCACAGGGCAGGGTGGTACCCTGACCTCTCTTAGGACTGGAGGGGGAGAGGGGTAGCAAGATTGGGGGAGCTTAAATGAAATGGAGGAGGGGAGGAAGTGGAAATTTTGAATTGTATTATGTATAAAGCACAAAATATAAAAAAAATTACCAGAATTTAAGGAATGGGGGAAATAAAGAGAGAATGAGCATAGGGATCAAAACCATGATAGTGATACCCACAGAAATAGATGATCTGGGATAGTGAGAGCTACTGGCTCTGGACTGAGAGCAAGAAAACCTGCAAAAACTAAATTAGAACCCCTGAATTTGATTGAAAGTCTTGCGGATCGGGCCAATAATTGCGGAACCAGAATTTATCCCTAGTGCTTTAACTGTCAACATACTATTTTCAATTAGGCTGTTCTTACACGAGAGAAGCAGCTACCCTTGGCAGAAAACCAATGGTTCTGGCATTCCACAAAATCTTGGTGTACTCTAGGCAATACAGGCTTCAAGATCACACCTTCACTCAATTTCTCTATAGGCTTCCATTGAGGGTCACTCTTGACAAATGCCTGGCCTCAACCGTTTTCTTTACGTGAAAGGCGAGATACTTCTACTTTTGACTTTAATGTCAGAACCATGTTGCTAAGGCTGGCAGGTTCTGTTACTAGCTGGATCATGGTCCGTGGTTTAATTACACCTTCACCAATTTTCAGTTTATCTTGGTTTCCTTCACGAACTTTGCTTGACTCCTCAGGAATATGCTGTGGATACCGTGCTTGCCTAACCTCAGGGATCCATCAGCAAATAGCCTACAAGAGGTGGGATTAAAGGCATGTACCACAGCAGCTGGCTCTAAGCTTTTCTTTAATTCCTTTTCACTAGTTGTTAACTTAACTGTGTTGATCTTGCCCTGAGGTCACCACTCCCTTCATTACAGTTCCATGTGATTTTTTTCCTTAAACACAAGATTTAACTCCATTCCACTTCCTGGTGCTTCTTTTCGCCTTGGATTTTCTACATCTTTCATTTTTTAAATGCTCAGTTTGCCCTGTTTCACTATAAATACTGCTTAAAGTCACTACTTACAATAGCTTGACTATACCAGTGGTTTTCTTTTTTTTCTTATTTTTTTATATTTTAGATTTAGTCTGCCATAAGGATCAATTCCAAACTCCACAATTAAAGTTAGGCAGACTCTAGAAAAGGGCAAAACATAGATACATTCTTCATGACCCAGCAGGCCTGGGTCTGAAAAAGCCTGGGATAAAACCGGACTAGCTGAACATAGCAGACAATGAGGACTACTGAGAACTCAAGAACAATGGCGATGGGTTTTTGATCCTACTGCACCTATTGGCTTTGTTGGAGTCTAGGGAGTTTGGATGCTCACCTTACTAGACCTGGATCAAGGTGGGTGGTCCTTGGACTTCCCACAGGGCAGGGAAACCTGATTTCTCTTGGGCTGACAAGGGAGGGGAACTTGATCAGGGGAGGGAGAAGAAAATGGGAGCCTGTGGTAGGGCAGAGGCAGAAATCTTTAATAAATAAATAAATAAATAAAAAGAATTGTCTTCCAGTTTTAAAGATCCAATGCTTTCAGTCCACACACACTAACAACTACTCCACCAGCTGGTTCTGCAGAAGCAGATGTCATCCCTAAATAGGACGGTCTTTTATCTACCTGGAGCTTGTAACTTGGAGGTGCTGTGATTGCAGTTAGCACTGCCAGCTCTCCTGGGAGACTCCCCTGGTGGGGTTTGGGGTGGGGGTGAGTGTGGGATACTGGTGCTATCTCCAGCTACAAGCCTAAATGTAGAACCTGGCAAACCTTAGAGAGGAAGACCTCAAGGGAAGAGAGGTGGCTGGCTGCCTGGAATTTACAAGGAAACTTTCATAATCCTCACCCCAAAGCCCTGTCAAAAATAGGATCCCATTTTCTGTGTGATATCTGAGATGAACCCCAGATTTGATCTGGTATTTATCATCCATAAGAAACCATAAACTGTCAAATGGTGGTGATTCTCACCTTTAATCCCAACATCCTTCAGGCAGAATTATCCACATCTGATTGTGAGTTCAAGGCTAAACTGGTTTACACACAGAGTTCCAGGAAAACCAGGGCTGTTACACACATAAATTCTCTTACAAAAGCCAAAAAGTAAAAGGAAACATAGAGCCTAAAATCCAAAGAGCCAAATATAAAAGTATTAGAAGAATGTAATAAAAAGAAAAAATAAAGTCTAATGAGTAATTGCATTGTAAACCTGAGTGGGCAGAAGAATACGCTGTGTGACACACTGCAGTTTTCTAAAGGCCTCAGTGGTGGGATGACAACTAACATTTTCAAATTAAATCAGAAAGCACAGACAGCAAATGATGAAGGCTCAGCTCCTTAATCTCAAGGTCAATGAAATGGAGGGAATTCTGCCATTGTGAGAGATATTTTTGGTTGCCAACATGACTACAACTGGAATGAACTACAAGCCAAAAATGGAGGGCACACCTGTAAGGGATCATTTTTGATTGGTTTGTTCTCAATCTCAAGGAGGGAAAGACACTCCTTTGATGATTGAATTTGGTGGGAAGACACAGGCCTTTAATCCAGTTCATGACGCCAGAAGACACACCTTTAATTTTGGCCACGCCTTGTGCTGGAAGAATATATAAACACCTAAGAGGAGACTTTGTCTCATTTGTCTCTGGCCCTCACCTTGTTCGCATCTTTGTTCCTTCCTGGGAATAAGAGCCAACTTCTTTGGGATTCCAGTAGATTCTGAAGACCAGCCAAGAGAGAAAGCTCTCTGGACTGAGCAACTCCTGAAATTTTTGAAGTTTCAGTTCATCACCAGCCATTGTCGGATTACCTGGACAGCAGTCTGTAAGTGATTCTCATAAATTCCAAGGGGGAGAGAGGTTGATTGTACTGTTGTGTAAGGTGCTCCGTTGTTTAGAGAATTCTGACTAATAAGTCACCAAGGCTCTACCACATGAAATTAACTAAATGGGCCCAAAACTGGTGCTCAAATGCCCAATACTGTTGGGACCTGTCTCATTCACATATCACAGTGGTTTTTTTTTAGCAGGATCTCAGGTTTTTGAGCCCTTCGTGACAATTAGCCAGTGCTGACTGGAAATTTTGAAAGTCATAGAGGCAAAACTTTTTTTTTTTTTTTTTTGGTTTTTCGAGACAGGGTTTCTCTGTGGTTTTGAAGCCTGTCCTGGAACTAGCTCTTGTAGACCAGGTTGGTCTCGAACTCACAGAGATCCGCCTGCCTCTGTCTCCCGAGTGCTGGGATTAAAGGCGTGCGCCACCACCGCCTGGCGAGGCAAAACTTTATAGGAAGTGAGTCACTGCCGGATAGAGAATTTATCCTGAAATGACATCAGTCACAGAAAAACCTAGCTTTATAACATGATATTTCCAGCACCATGGCTTTGTATGTTTTTCTCAATAGCCACACTTTCTACGTATGTCTCATTTATTTCATGGTTTTTCTTTTATCATATTTCAACGTTCACACAAATCTAGGAATTCCTTTCATTGTTTCAAATTCCTTAGGTTTTAATTTTTGGAGTATCCAGAAGGTATTCTATGGATAGTAATTTGCATAGAATATTATCCCTATTTACCTTTAATTTAATTTGTATCTCATCACTTGATAAGATTGGCCAAAGATTTTCATTTTGGTTCATTGTTGAAAATAATCAAATCATTATTTCTCTGATGTAAGTATTTGTATTTGCATGGACACATCCGAGATTCCCTCTTTGATATTTTCTGTGATTCCTTGTCTACTGCTTTCTATGTCCTTGGAGTGCATCATTAGTTTTGTGTGGGAAATCTTCAGTATTGCTATAGGATAGGGTCATTTCAGGTTCCCTATCCTCAGCTGCCCAAGGAACTAACTGGGGACCTTGGCTTGGGCGTCTGGAAGCCACTCTAGGTTCAAGTCTCTTGCCAACTCTAAGGTGGCTCCCTTAACTAAGTATTATGCTTCCATGCTCCCCTATCCAACCTTCCTTTATCCCAATCCTCCTTTTTCCCCAAGTTCCCCCCATTCTCCCCTTCTCCCTTTTCTCTCCCCATCTCCCCTTACCACCATCCCACCCCACCCCCAAGATCTCAATTTTCTCCCAGGCCATGTTGTCTACTTCCCATAGCCAAGAGGACAACTATATGTTTTTCCTTTGGTTCACCTTCATACTTAGCTTCTTTGGGATCACCAATTGTAGACTCCGTGACCCTTGTTTATGGCTAGAAACCAATTATGAGTGAGTACATCCCATATTCATCTTTTTGGGTCTGGGATACCTCACTCAGGATAGTGTTTTCTATTTCCATCCATTTGCATGCAAAATTCGAGAAGTCATTGTTTTTTACTGCAGCGTAGTAATCTAGTGTGTATATATTCCACACTTTCTTCATCCATTCTTCCATTGAAGGGCATCTAGGTTGTTTCCAGGTTCTGGCTATTACAAATAATACTGCTATGAACATAGTTGAACAAATGCTCTTGTCATATGATCGGGCATCTCTTGGGTATATTCCCAGGAGTGGTATTGCTGGGTCCAGGGGTAGGTTGATCCCGAATTTCCTGAGAAACCGAAACTAAGATTTGATGACTGCGGATTCATAGTGCCAGACCTGCATCTTGACGTTGATTCAATTTTTGTTTCTAGCATTGCCTGCCAACAAGAAAAGTAGGTGATTTGGGACAACACATCATGGCCAGCCCCTGGGACGAAGACATCCTTGACAAAGATTTCAAGATCTTAACACCTCTAGGTGTAGGTTCTTTCGGGGAGGTGAAGCTTGCCTGCCACATTCCTACCAAAACACAGGTTGCTGTCAAGGTCCTTAGTAAAAAAAGCAATAGTGTGGGTGAGATGAACTCTGAAGTAAAGATCCTTCAGACTTTGGAACACAGGAACATCATTCATTTTTTTCACGTCATTGACACACAGTCAAGGACTTATATAATCACGGAGTATGTGGCTGGAAAGGATCTACAGATATTCCTCAGTGAGGTTGGATGTTTAAAGGAGCAGGAGGCTAGACCCATCTTCCAACAGGTTGTATCAGCGGTGCACTTTCTCCACCAACGACGTATTGCGCATCGCGATATTAAATTGGAGAATATCCTTATTGATGGAGATGGCAATGTCAAGCTTTGTGATTTTGGTACGGCAATTCAGCTCACAGAGGGGCAGAAGTTGGAAGAACTCTGTGGTTCTTTGCACTATATGGCTCCAGAGATGTTGGCAAGGAAACCTTATGATGGGCTGGCTGTTGACATGTGGAGCTTGGGAGTCGTCCTATATGCAATGGTCACAGGACAATATCCATATGCTGAAGACACATTAGATGGTATGCATAGGCTCATCACCAACACAAAGTATCCCATTTCCTATCACTGGTCAATTCCCTGTCACATCATCATTGCACAATTACTCATGGTTCCCACCATCGGGAGAATAACAGTATGTCAACTTGTGAAAAGACCATGGCTGGGCCCCACAAAAAAAATTACAACACCTACAACTAAAGAAATCCTTCCACAGCTTGTAGAGACTATGTGCACCATGGGTTATAACTTGGAAGATATTTTTTCATCACTAACGTGCAAGGAACCAAATGAAGTAACAGCAACTTTTAATATTCTAAAACACAAATTGAGCTGTGAGGACAGTTATCAGCAGAGTGAGCAGCACTGTTAAAAGAGCAGTCACGTAGGTGCACATCACTCTCTGGTCCATTTGTAGAGGAGAACCTGTGATCCATCCCTTCCAAGGACTAGAAAAAGTAGGAAGAATCAAACTAAAGTGGGGGTATAGAAGAATGAAGCAAGAGATGCCAAAGTCTTATCAAGCTCAACAAATACTCATGCTTGGAACTGAAGCCCCATTCAGAAGACACAGTCCCATAAGGAGATGTCCTGATGGCTATTGTTGTCAAGTATGCTACTGGGGACATTGTAGACAGCATGAATTCTGTGGACATCTGGCCTGGTGATCTCTCTTTATGTGAATCAACCTTGGATGGAAGACCCAAGTTGTTTCTGAACATGGACTTCTCGACAGAGGAACCTTCCATGGAACCCAATATGCCCCATGACCAGCCTCAGATTGGGTCCACAACCTCTCCATCCAGGCCATTCAAGGGCTGGAAACGGATGAGGAATGAATTTCCAATGTACTTGATGCACTGTTGATCTGTGTCATGCCCATTCCAGAGTGAACTCTGAATCCTTTTTTATGCTCCAAAGAAAAGAGATGATAGTGTAATCGGTGAGGGGCACAATTGCTTTGGTCACTAAGATTTTCCCTTCCATTGTATTTTAACTATGTTATATTAATAAATATATTTTTCTAAATGACAAAATTACAATCTCATATGGCACCTGCTATGCATCTCTCTTTTAAAGTCAAAACCACACACAAACACACACATAAATATATGAACACATACAACTTGGTGTCAGGCCCTGCTAGACTTTAGACATTACTACATATATATATATATATATATATATATATATATATATATATATATGGATATATATATATATCCATGTGAATAATATATTATGTAATACTACATCATAATATAATATTAAGTTATGGGTATGGTAAAGATTCAACATATTAGGGAGAATTTTTTTTTATTTCTATGTTTGGGCTATTCTACCTATATTTTCTCTAGCCATTCATTTCCTGAAATTTTCATTTTTCATTACAGCTGTATAATATTCCATTATGTATATATTCCATAACTTCCTTCCCAATTCCTCTTTTGATAAACATAAATGCTGGTACTTTTTTTCTGATAGTTACCATGATTGAACAGAAATAAACATGGGTTTTTTTAAATTTTTTTTTCTGTGGTAGATGTGGAGCTATTATGTCCAGGACGGGGACATGTAGGTTACATGGTAGTTCTGTTTTTAATTCTGAGGAATCTTCACTGAATTTCATAATAGCTATGCTACTTCAGACTCCTACCAACAATAAATAAAGCTACTTATTTTCTCATATTAACCTCTCCAGAACAGGGCATTGAATCCTCAGGAGCAAGAGTTACAGACATTTATTAGCCTTTCAATCTAGGTTTCCAGTTGTAAACTTGGGTTTTCTTAAAGAATACAAACTTCTCTTAATTGCTGGGACATCTCTCCAGCCCCAGTTTTCTGACTGATGTGAGATTGTTATCTCTAATTAGTTTTAATTTTCTTTTTCTATTTTTTTTTTGCAGTCCTTTGTATGTTCTGGATGGTAGCGTCAAGTCTGAATGATAGCTAGTCAATGTCTACTTCCCTTCTATGGGTTATTTGCTCTCTTGATAATTCTACTTTTGGTGCAGACACATGTTAATTTCATGTAGTCCCATCTACTGAAATCTTGATTGCTAGATTCTGTGCTGCTAAAGTTCTATTGAGAAAGTTCTTAAGTATCCAGAGTATTAAAGACTCTCATACATGTTTTCCTTCTTTGCCAATTTGTGTTTTAACTGTCTTTTTAAAAAAAACATTTTGAACCGACTCTTGTTTAGAGTGAGACATGTAAGTCTAACATCTATTCTGCAGGTGGAAATCCAGGTTTACCAGGGACATTTGCTAAATAGACTTTTCTTCCATTGCATTTTTATCACCTTTGTAAAAACTAGATTGCTACAGCTTTTTTTTTCAGTTTATTTTTGGGTGCTCTCATCTGTCCCATTGGCCTAATTGTCTGTTTTTAGTCTCGTAATAGACTGTCATTGTCACTATAATTTTTTAGCATATTAAAGTCAGATATTTTGATACTTATATCTGTATTATTTCTCTAGGATGTTTTTGGTGATTTGTGGTCCTTTGTGGTTCTGTTGTAGATTCTTGGATTAATTTATCTATATATATTAAGTACATCAGACCCTTTTAAAATTGTTTGAAAATATCATACACACATATACTTTGTTTTGATCCTATCTACCCGCCCTCCTCTCCCCTCCAATTTATCCCAATACCCTGCCTTTTCTTCTCAATGCCATGTGCTCTCAATAAAATAAACTAAAATAACACTAAATCTACTTAGTCTTTTCTGAATGCATTGATGCAGGACTATATACTGGAGCATGGGTAGGCTCTCAGATGCTGCCCAATGAAGAAAATGGACTCCCCCTTCCTCAGCAGCTGTCAGTTGCCAATAGCTCCATAGACTTAGTGTAATTTCATGAGTCCTCTTCCATTCCTACTAAGACTCTGACGGGTTTAATCTTGTGAAGGTCATATGTACACAGTACCCATCTTTGTAAATACATTTGTACAACATCTCTGTCATGTCTTACAAAAAGTTTTTTTTTTTTTGCCAGTGACATTGATTCCTATGACCCTAACAATGTTCATCTGAAAGACCAGCCTACATAACTTATTTTGGGAGGGTGAATTTTTGATTGGTTTTAGTGCAGGAAAATCCTGGCTCTACAAAAGGAACTTGGAACTGTTCCTTCCTTCCTTGTTGTATGCAATAACTAGGAACATGGTAGTTCTTAAAGGTATTGATAGAATTGTATACAAATTCCATGTTATTACAGATACCTTTCAGTTATGATTTTTTTATGAACTTGCTTCTATCTCATTGATCATCATGACTATTTTTTATTTACTTACTATTGATTTAATTTTCATAGATCATATGCATTGAAAAGTTCATTTTTTTTTTAGATTTTCCAGTTGATTGGAATGTAAAAATTTTGGAGTGTGTCCTTTTGTTTCTCTGAATGTCCCCAGTGGCCCCCTTTCATTTCCAGTTGTATTAACTGGAATCTTCTCTCTCTTTCTCTCTCTCTCTCTCTCTTTCCCTCTCTCTATTTCTCTGTGGAATTTGACTAAGGTAAGTCAATCTTGTTAATATTATCTTTAAAAATACAACTCTTTTTAAATTTTTGTTTTGTCTTCTATATTTTAAAATTTTAATTAAAATATTACTTTATAATCTGTAATGTTCTTATTTCTATTTTATCTATTTAAGAATTTAATCTCTTTCTATCTGCTGATTGGGGTATGTTTTAAATTTGTTTTTTCAAGATCTACAAGTGGATGATTAAGTTATCAAGTTGACATGTCTCAAAGTGTTTTATTTAGGCATTTACTACTGTGAGGTGTCCTTTTTGGATTTCCCTTACTGTGTTCCAAAAATTTTTAATGTTCGTGTTTTCATTTTCATTCAATTATAGGAATTCAATTTTTTTCATGACCCAATAGTCATTTGATATGTTGTAATTTTTCATGAGTTCTATATTTTAATATTTGTGAATTTATTGAGCTTTAAATTTTTCTCTACTCCTTTCCCTTCTTTCTCCTCCTCTTCTACCCTTTTCCATGGTCCCCATGCTTTCAATTTACTCAGGAGATCTTTTCTTTTTCTACTTACATGTAGATTAGATCCATGCATGTCTCTCTTAGGGTCCTTATTGTTGTTATTACAATTGGGATTTAAATTTAAATTGATTGGTTTTCTTTGCTTTGTGTCTAAAAGCCACTTATGAGTGTGTACACATGTTATTTTTCTTTCTGGGTCTAGTTTTCTTAGTCAATATTATGTTTTCTAGATCTATTCATTTGCCCTCAAATTTCAAGATGTCATGATTTTTTCTGCTGTGTAGTACTCCATTGTGTAAATGGACCATATTTTCCTTATCCATTCTTCAGTCGAGGGGCATTTAGGCTGCTTCCAGGTTTAGCTATGACAAACAATGCTGCTATGAACATAGTTGAGCACATGGTATTGTAGTACAATTGAGAATCCTTTGGGCATATACCCAAAAGTTGTATTGCTGGGTCTGGAGGAAGATTGTTTCCTCTTGCACTTTATATCATGCTAGTGCTAGACCCTTGCCTTGCATGATCGTTTGAAACATCTGGTAGATTTTTTTATTCTTACTTCTTTCCCATTTCATCATTTTGCCTGATCCTCTTTTGAAAACACAGTTTTGGATAAAACTACAGATTCTATCTATTTGTCAATCAATCTGTCTGCCTTCAGGCTACCTAACAAAAACTTCAACTCTTCCCCTCAAGAGGCATATACTATCCAACAACAACCCAATTTCTAGGCATGGGAAATCTTGAATTTTGGGTCAGGGTAGTTTGAGTCTTCAAATTTTATTACAGACTATTGCCATTGCCTTTGCTTGCTTCCAAATACTTAAAGGTAAGATTTTATTGATAAGAAAAATCACATATTTTGGACACAGAATTTGGCTGAATCTGACCTGGAGGCCTCCTACCTGAAGACTACCTCTCAGAGGTTTAGAAGGTGACAGGTAAGCTGTCAGTGAAGATAAACAGTCATAGTTTACACAGTTTTAAATCCTATGAACCACAATAATGACCCAGCTATCTTTCATGGTGCATTAGTGGCAGTTTTATATAGTGAGTAACCTCCAGTTTTCTAGCTGGACTTAAGACCTACTCAGCAGGAGGCAATGCTTGCCTGGGACTGGAAACCTAGCCAGTTACCCAAGGTTAATATTATGGCTCTAGAAGAGAATGTGCCACTGCCATTTTCCTAAACCAGTATTATTTATAACAGCTTTGTAAATATTTTATTATACCCACAGATAAGTGGAGCTCATACTTCTCAGAAAAAAAGCTTCTATCTGCAGTAGGTAGAGAATACTTCAGGGGATCTGCAACTGACCAAAATGCTGATAATAAGTGAGTATAAAGTTCCCAACTCCAACCTCTACACATAAAACTCAAGGAAAAACAAATAAAACAGAAGACACAGTGCAAAGAATTTCAAGGGTCGAAGAACAAGGATGGCTTCTTCTACAGAGGATCTTCTAGACATCCTATGGAAGCTGTACCTGCCGGGTTCTCTGACAGAAAGAGAAGGGGCAGAGCCGGACCCACTGGCCTCTCCCTGGGGCTGAGCAGGAGGGTGAGTGTTGAAGGACTCAGCCCTCCCCCTGGCCACTGGAGAGAAGCACACTCACTGAGTTGGGAGTCTGTCAAAACAGGACCTCATTTAATGGCATCAGGCTGGAACTTGTATAGGGTTGTGATGGGGTTGGAGATGCTTGGGATGGTGAAAGTGGAAGTCACAAAATAATTGCAAACTAGGTCAGGATTATGAATAATGAAGGGTTATTTATTTAGGAGAGACTTACAGTTCACTGTCCTAGATAACAGTCCTCTGCATGAGTGGGGAACAAAAACCAGAGTTTAGCAGTTAATGAGGAACCAAAGCAAGAGAGCAAACACATGCTTTACAGCTGCATATATAGTATAAAAGACCATGCCCAAGTAGGCTGGTACCTTAGGGTATTGGCTGAAGGAGCTCCCACAGCATTGTATGTCAAATGCTATTGGCTGAAGGAACAGAATGAGCTCCCACAGCAGGATGGATTGAGGCAGAGTAAGGAATAAGGGCCAATAATATTCTGCCATCCTAGCCATGGCTAAGCATTGGTGAGTCTAGGTTGGGTAGCCAGAAACAGGTCTTCAAACTCAAGGCAGGCTTAGGAAGTTACACTAGGCCTCATCAAATTCAAGTTAGGCTCAGGAAGTTACACTGGGCCTCACGCCTGGGCTCCATGAGGCCCAACATGTACTCATGAAAATATAGGCATTATGACTTCCTTAAAAAGAGCTACATAATAACAACACCAGTTACTAAGCCAACATGTGGGGGGGAATTGCACAAAGTTTTACCTCTAAATGAAGAACTGTGGGCTACTGAGGGACTGTTAGTTAGTATTTTCCAGACATGAACTTCTTGATAGATTATCTAGACCCAAGTAGTCAGCCCTAAACACTTGTAGATGTGAGCAACACTAACTTTGTAGTGTGTATGTGTGTGTGCCTATGTGTGTGGTATGTATGTAACAGTAAAAATAGGTCATAAATTTGGGAAGGAAAGGTGGAAATGAGGAATTAGACATGGGAAAGTGAATGTGGAAATGATGTGTAGTACTTGTGTATGAAATTCTCAAGAAATGGAATTGAAAGTGTATATGGTGCCACAATGTAGCCCATTATTTTGTAATAATATCTTAAAAATTAATAAAAAACAGAAATAATAAATATATGAACATAAAAGAACACCACGAAGGAAGGGAAACATGGAGATATCTTCATAGTATTAAAAATACCTGCACATACAATTTTCTACTAAGATGGCAACTGTCTCTTTTTTTATTATTGTCTTTAGTCTCCACAAAGAAAGCCACTGTCTTTGTGATTTATTTCCAAGATGCAAGTACATTCTCGGTTTCAGTATTATTTGTTGAATGCATGAATGGACTCTTGGCTCTTCCAACCATGTCAACATTATTCACTAGAGAAAGCAGAAGGTCTGTGTGCATGAGAAATGGTGCTGTTTGTTCCAATTATTTTATTATTTTTATCCAAAAATATATTAGAATGAAAATGAAAAAAATGTAAAAGTGCAGAGATGTTTCATGGTAGAGTCAACAGTCTCTGGAATTCCTAAATCATGCCATACATAACTGACACATTTTTCTCATTAGTATTTTTTCATGCATCTTTCCACAAAGGTGTTTCTTCCTCATTATGGGACTTCCTACAACTGATACTTTGGTATAGGAGTATTTTCAGCTAGCACTTTATAAAGTAGACTTCCACAATCTTACAACAAAAGAAAAAAAAATCAGTTGGGTTGTTTTGGGAAAAGTGGAGGGCAAACTCATTATGTTTCTAAAAATTGAAATGATCTTCTTAGTTTAAGACTATGACTAGGGCTTGGCTTACACAAGTGTCTTGGCAGTGAGAGCTGTTATTTCAGACTCCACTGTCATCTTTATATTAAAAGAGGTCATGATGTGGGTCATTGTTTACTTGAGTCATTTTCTATGGTTTGGCCCCTTAAGACAAAATAGATGTTGTTCTTGTTTTCATATACAATCTTCATAGTCAACATCATCACATCATGCATTTATTGAATCAAAGCATGTGTCATGTTCATGCTACTGGTCTACTGAGTGAAGAGCATAGAACATGGTTGAATATTGAGAGCCTAAGAGATAATAAACAGGAAGGTTCTGATTCTACTAGAATTATTCTATAGTGTATGGATGGGCTCAAAAAATGAGAGATGCAGTTTTAATATGAATTATTGCTGTTCATTTCTGTGGGATGCAGGTTGGCTAGTAAATTAGTCTTTGCCTGTGTTTACATTGGTTTCCAACAGCTATACTAAAATACTGACTTTTCAAAGTAATATATAAGAAGAGTTAGCACTCTAAACAGTAGACATTCATGAATGTGATCTATGGAATGATCTAAAAACTTGGGGTTGTTCCCCAAATGATGGAGGAAGGTCATTAGTTAAATAAAAAGAAACTGCTTGGCCCTCTTTGGTTAGAGGATAGGTGGGAGGAAGAGGAAGTGAGCTCAGACTCCACATCTTTTCTCTGGGGAGCAGACGCCTCAGAGAGACAACATGCTCCCGGCTCCTGGGCAGAAACACGTGATGAAGCTCCAAACCAGGCCCGGTAAGTGCACCTAGCTGTGCAACATAGAATATTAGAAATGGGCTAGTCCAGGTGTGAGAGTTAGCCTAGAAGAGGCTAGGTAGAAATGGGCCAAGCAGTGATTAAAAGAATACAGTGTCCCTGTAATTGCTTTGGGTAAAGCTAGCCGTGGGGGCGGCCGGGTGCTGGGGATGCAGGCCCGCCGCCCTTATTACTACACCCAAACCTTTGAGACTCAATTTCTAAGTGCAGAAAAGGAGATGAACACAACAGGCAGAGTCTTTAGTGAATGGAGCTTTTGATTTGTTGCCTTATCACTTAATAAACAGTGGCTGTGCTTTGTTTCCAGAACCTGATTGCCTCAAAGTGTGGGTCATTCAATACAGGAGAACACGGGTGCACACATTTTCTGCGAACTGACAACCATAAGAAAGAACAACTCGGCTCCTCAGAACTCCTATGATGCTTGGAAAATTATCAGCTGAACATCTTGCTGAATATTAAATGGACTGTATTTGTGCTTCCTCCTGTAAGAAATACAGGACAAACGGAGGTTCCTTTTTTACTTAGAGGGACTGAACAAACTGTAGAAAACTGAGGATAACTGGTAGAAGGTATTTATTTACCTGTCCTTATTCTCAAGGTCAATCAAATGGAGGGATTTCTGCCATTGTGAGAGATATTTTTGGTTGCCAACATGACTACAAATGGAATGAACTACAAGCCAAAAATGGAGGGCACACCTGTAAAGGATCATTTTTGATTGGTTTCTTCTCAATCTCAAGGAGGGAAAGACACTCCTTTGATGATTGAATTTGGTGGGAAGACACACGCCTTTAATCCAGTTCATGACGCCAGAAGACACACCTTTAATTTCGGCCATGCCTTGTGCTGGAAGACTATATAAACACGTAGGCGGAGGCTTTAGCTCATTTGTCTCTGGCCCTCACCTTGTTCACATCTCTGTTCCTTCCTGAGAATAAGAGCCAACGTCTTTGGGATTCCAGTAGATTCTGAAGACCAGCCAAGAGAGAAAGCACTCTGGACTGAGCAACTCTTGAAATTTTTGAAGTTTCAGTTCATAGCCAGCCATTGTCAGATTACCTGTACAGCAGCCTGTAAGTGATTCTCATTAATTCCAAGGGGGAGAGAGGTTGATTGTACTGTTCTATAAGGTGCTCTGTTGTTTAGAGAACTCTGACTAATAAGTCACCACGACTCTACCACATGAAATTAACTAAATGGGCCCAAAACTGGTGCTCAAACGGCCAATACTGTGGGGACCTGTCTCATTCAAACCGTCACAGTGATTTCCTTAGCACGATCTCAGGTTTTTGAGCACTAAGTGACAATTAGCCAGTGCTGTTTGGAAAGCTTTGAAAATCATAGAGGTGAAACTTTATAGGAAGTGAGTCACTGCCAGATAGAGAATTTATCCTGAAATGACATAAGCCACAAAAAAACCCAGCTTTATTACACGATATTTCCAGCACCATAGCATTGTATGTTTTTCTCAATAGCCACACTTTCTACGTATGTCTCATGTGTTTCAGGGTTTTTTCTTATCATATTTCAGTGTTCACACAAATCTAGGAATTCCTTTCATTCTTTCAAATTCCCTAGGTTTTAATATTTGAAGTATCCAGAAGGTATTCTATGGAGTATAATTTGGCTAGAACATTATCTCTTTTTACCTTTAATTTAATTTGTATCTCATCACTTGATAAGATTGGCCAAAGATTTTCATTTTGGTTCATTGTTGAAAATAATCAAATCATTAATTCACTGATGTAAGTATTTCTATTTGATTGACACATCAGCGATTGCCTCTTGGAACTTTACTGTGATTCCTTGTCTACTGCTTTGAGGTTGTGCTCTTCTGGTATTTCTATGTCCTTGAAGTGCATCATTAGTTTTGATTTGGAAATCTAAGATTTGATGACTGCGGATTCATAGTGCTAGACCTGCATCTTAACGATGATTAAATTTTTGTTTCTAGCATTGCCTGTTAAAGAGAAAAATAGGTTCCGGCCTGGCTGGTGCATGAGGACTGGGGCCGCGGCTTTGCATGGCCGCCGCCGCCACCGTGATGGCCCAGCAGCAGATAACCAGCTCGCAAAAAGCCTTGATGCTTGAGCTGAAATCCTTGCAGGAGGATCCGGTGGAGGGCTTCTGTATCACCCTGGTGGATGATTCCGACCTCTACAACTGGGAGGTGGCCATCTTCGGACCACCTAACACTCTCTATGAAGGCGGCTACTTCAAGGCACATATTAAATTTCCCATTGACTACCCATATTCACCACCTACCTTCAGATTCTTGACCAAAATGTGGCACCCCAACATTTATAAGAATGGAGATGTATGCATTTCAATTCTTCATCCGCCTGTAGATGATCCACCAAGTGGAGAACTGCCCTCTGAAAGGTGGAATCCCACTCAGAATGTGAGGACTATCCTGTTAAGTGTAATCTCACTGCTTAATGAGCCCAACACCTTTTCTCCAGCCAACGTGGATGCTTCAGTGATGTTCAGGAAATGGAGGGACAGTAAAGGAAAAGACAAGGAGTACGCTGAGATCATCAGGAAACTGGTCTCGGCCACTAAGGCTGAAGCAGAAAAGGATGGAGTGAAGGTCCCCACAACCCTGGCAGAATACTGCATCAAAACTAAAGTGCCTTCCAATGACAACAGCTCAGATCTGCTGTATGACGACTAGTATGACTACGACATTGATGATGAAGACGAGGAGGAAGAGGACGCCAACTGTCATGACGATGATAATTCTGGGAACGAGGAGTCGTGACATGTTCCTTCAGTGCCCCTGTACTGGCCTGACGTCTCAGGCCAAAGGGAGGGGAGCAAGTGGGGATCTATGGTGGCCCCTCAGCAAAAACTTACTCATGGGGTGGGGAAACACACAGCTCCTGCTGACTCCCCGTGGATCTCAGTTTGCTCCTTTTTATGGACCTTTACTGGAGAGAAAGTACCCTCCACAGAATGTCTGAATTCTTGCATTCTTTACCCTTCCATCACTGTATTGATTCTTTTTAAAGGAAAAAAAAAGCCACCACCCTTCAAACTCCCACTTCACTTCATCTCTGCAGAATGTTCACAGCAAAACACGTTTGTCTGTTTTTAGATTCTTGAAGAATTAGTCTGTTTAAGACATTATGTGTTTAAAGCTGGGAACTCACTGGGAGTCCACAAATGCTGCATATATTGGGTAGCAAAAGAAAATGGGGGAAAAAAAACCCACAATACCAAAAAAAAAAAAACCCACATAACCCACAAAACAAACTTTAAAAAAAAAAGCCAATTTGCCAAGCAAGGTTAAGCTGCTCCTTTCCATTAGTGCGTGTGCATTTGTTCAGCTCGTGGTGGCGAATTTTGTTTCTTTCCCTTCCTAAGGCTGGGATGCGGTGGGCATCAGGGACTTACTCTTGCTAATCCTGATGAAGTGTGCTGCTTCTGCCTCTATGACATCACCCCAACATGGAGGCTACAGCTACTCTGAGAGATCAGATTTTGTTTTTTTGGAATTGATTGGGATCTAAAGCCTGAAATAAATATTCATACTTTACATAGAACTGAGCACTTGGTTGCTATTTATTTTAAAGATAGGGTATCTTTTTTTCTGAGTAGGGTGAGCGGGGGGACGTGAAAGGCAGTGTGTGTGTGAAGTTTTAGTTATGAAAACAGAATTGAAAATTGTACTAGTTTTTATTGATGCTGCTGAGGGGGAAGTTCAAAAGCCGCTGTTGGGGGAGGAAACATCTCAGATACTCAAATGAGGGTTATTTTTTAAGTAACCCTTTTTAATTATTCAGTATTCATCCTAGGTGCATGTGTTAAGATTTTGGTTTTCATCAAGCTGCTCCTCCTGGTAGTGACACTGGTGGGCATGTGTGACCTTGATCTGGAGGGCACTTTGGGCCAGAGTGCAAGCAGGAATTGTTCCTGGAGCTTCCCCTAGGCTTATCTCAGTTTTGGCAGGGCTGCAGTTGCTGCAGCTGTTTCCCAGATCTCAATCACATCTTGCTTCAATCAAGAGTGAACTCCTTTAGCCTTCACCATCCAGGGACTTCAGATTTGAAGTAACATTTTTGTTCCTGTTTCAGCAAACTGCTATGACACAAAACTAGTTTTCAGAAGGATAGGATGCTATGATCCTTGTGTACCAGCTCAGATAGTAACTGGGGAGGATGGATCTTCCACTGTCGAGTAGGCGTCCCTTCCTTTCTGATATCAGGGTTTTCATTCACTCTTTGAACGCACCTGACTGAATGCTATTTCCCAGTTCTTTGACCTCTAAAGTTGGGTCTGTTCTTCAATGAGAATGTTTAGTCCAGAAATGTTTCAATGGTAAAGACATAAAATTCCTCTCAATACTCCCAGATAGCCTGCAGCCCTGGATCCATACACCTTACACCCAGCCCACTGAAGCTAAAGCATCTCACTCCTAGGCATGGTAAGCACCTTGGCATTGTGGGAGGCTCCCTGCTGGCCTCTATGGAGCCAGAGAGGCAAGTGGAGGTGGGCCTCTCAGCTTCTGTTGACATTACTCTTAAGGCTAGGTTTGCATTTGATGTGAAAAGAACAGCATTTTAGTCTAATCAAGGCTGCACTGGGGCTGAGTGGAGAAAGTATATAGTGACATGATGCTGTTGTTGCTTCTCTCATTCTTTTCCAGAATCCTATCAGCCACACTCTACTTTTGTAGGCCCTTCTTCCCCCTCTCCTGGCCAGTATTGCTGGGTTCCATCTTGTCCACTGGAAGGGAAATGTATAGCTCTATTGAAAAATCACCCTGATGCACAAGGTTTACATTTGCAAGTAAAAAGATTCAGATGCAGTTTTCAATTAAAACAGCAGACACAACCAATATTAGTAGTTTCCTTAGCTAAAATTAATGTTTTTTTTTCAGTTTAAATTATGAGAAAAGTTTACCCGATGCATTTTGTGTTGACTTCTCCTTAATGGTTTATTTTGTCTTTTTCTGCCCATCTGTCTCCTAATAAAATATGTGAAATAAAAAAATAGAAAAGTAGGTGGATTGTGACGACACATCATGGGCAGCCCCTCGGACGAAGACATCCTTGACAACGATTTCAAGATCTTAACAACTCTAGGTGTAGGTTCTTTCGGGGAGGTGAAGCTTGCCTGCCACATTCCCACCAAAACACAGGTTGCTGTCAAGACCCTTAGTAAAAAAAGCAATAGTGTGGGTGAGATGAACTCTGAAGTAAAGATCCTTCAGACTTTGGAACACAGGAACATCATTCATTTTTTCCATGTCATTGACACACAGTCAACGACTTACATAATCATGGAGTATATTGCTGGAAAGGATCTACAGATGTTCCGCAGTGAGGTTAGATGTTTAAAGGAGCAGGAGGCTAGACCCATCTTTCAACAGGTCATATCAGCGGTGCACTTTCTCCACCAAAGACGCATTGCACATCGCGATATTAAATTAAAGAATATCCTTATTGACGGAGATGGCAATGTCAAGCTTTGTGATTTTGGTTTGGCAATTCATCTTGAAAAGGGGCAGATGTTGAAGAAAGTCTGTGGTTCTTGGCAGTATATGGCTCCAGAGATGTTGGCAAGGAAACCTTATGATGGGCTGGCTGTTGACATGTGGAGCTTCGGAGTCGTCATATATGCAATGGTCACAGGACAATATCCATATGCTGAAGACACCTTAGATGGTATGCACAGGCTCATCACCAACACTATGTATCCCATTTTCGACCACTTTTTAAAACCCTGTCACATCATCATTGCACAATTACTCATGGTTCCCACCATTGGGAGAATAACCATATGTCAACTTGTGAAAAGATTATGGCTGAGCCCCATAAAAAACATACAGCACCAACAACTAAAGAAATCCTTCCAAGGCTTGTAGAGACTATGTGCACTATGGGTTATAACTTGGAAGAGATTTTTTCATCACTGAGATACAGGCAACCAAATAACGTAACAGCAACTTTTAATATTCTAAAACACAAATTGAGATGTGAGAACAGTTTCCAGCAAACTGAGTATCCGTGTTTACAGGGCAGGCACATAGATGCTCATCACCCTCTATTCTCATTGAAGAGGAGAGCGAGTGAACCAGTCTTTCCAACAATTAAAGAAGCTGGGAAGAGACAATCTAAGGAAGAGTGGGTAGAAGGCGTCGAAAGAGATGCCAAAGTCTTATCAAGCTCAACATATACTACTGCCTGGAGCTGAGACCTTGTTCAGAATTCACAGTCCCAGAAGAAGGTGTCCTGATGGCAAATGTTATCAATTGTGCTACTGGGGACATTGTAGACAACATGAATTCTGTGGACAGCTCGCCTGGTGATCTCTCCTTATCTGAATCAACATTGGATGGAAGACCCAAGTTGTTGGTGAAAATGGGCTTCTCGACGGAGGAACCATCCTTGGAAACCAATATCCCCAATGACTAGCCTCAGATTGGATCCACAACCTCTGCATCCAGGCCATTCAAGTGCTGGAAATGGATGAGGAAGTTAATTTCCCATGTTCTCGGTGAATTGTTGATCTGTGGCATGCCCATTCCAGAGTGAACTCTGAATCCTTGTGTCAGCTTCAAAGAAAGAGATGATGTGATAATGTAATCCGTAAGGGGCCCAATTGCTTTGGCCACCAAGATGTTCCCTTCCATTGTATTTTAACTCTGTTATATTAATAAATATATTTTTCTAAATGACAAATGTACAGTCTCAGATAGCACCTGTTATGCATCTCCCCCTGAAGTCAAAACCACACACAAACACACAGAGAAATGCATGAACACATACACCTGGGTGTCAGAGCCTGCAAGGTATACAAACATAAACTACAAGCCCTCAACATAGTGTTCGTTCATGACTTATTTAGTGTCATATTGTGTATAGAGATTGTCTCACAGAAACATATATTTGTAGGTTTCAGGTCTTCCTAGTTATTTCCTGCCATCCCGATGAAGCAACATCCCCTTTCTCATATCTACACATCAGGGTCTTTTATATAAATCATCTCTTTCAACTTAAGGCCGACTTATATAAACCCAATTCGTTATTAAACTTTGCTATATGACCCCCTGCCTGATTATCATGGTCACAATATTCATGAAAGGAAGTGTCTCTTTCTTTTATATTTCTCTGTTTTTCATGTCACCCATACACAGGGATGGATAAGTATTATGTACTACACAGAAGTCCCTACACTACATTCAAATAACTACAAGCAGATGACAGTTAGGTGGCAATTCCTCTGGTCCATTATTCTCCATACCAGCCATGGTCCTCTCATACAAAAAGGGTTTAGCTCCTGCTAGGTACCAACTTTCCTATAACTAAACCACACATAAACTGGTGTTCATTAGCACACAGCATGTTGTTAAAGTTTCTGTTGCTGTGGAGTACACATTGACCACTTACAAAGGAAAATATTTAGCTAGATCGCAAGGTAAAGCTTCAGAGGTTTAGTCTAGGATCATCCTGCCTAACCATGGTGGCATACATGAAGACATGGAGCTGATGAAGGAGCTGTGAGTGGATGAGGACATAAAATTTCATCCTACAGATAATGGGAAGTGGTGTAGTACACTGCACCTGGCTTGAGTCCATATGCCACCTCAATGCTCACGTTTATAGTGACAAACATCCTAATAGAAGGGCACAACTCTCCAACAAAGGCACACTTCCTAGTAATGCCACA